TGTAATGTAATGTAATGTAATGTAATGTATGCATGTATGTATGTATGTATAATACACATATCCATCTATGGACTCACTGGCTTTGGGAGCACAGAAACTTGTGCATGCTTGGAATGGTTACCCTGACGGAAGAACCCATCCATTATAGGGTTGAACACCAACTTGATATTTCTGCGAGCCGGAGCAAAGAACAAGCAAGAAGGGTGGACAACTTGCATGTGTGAACGCCTTGATCTCTAGACTTTGACACGAAGCATTTGTTGTTCTATGTCTTGGCTTTGCCGACTTTCGACCCTGCTCCGAAGTTACCAAGCAGGAGTCAAGGATCCTCAAGAATTACTTGCCGCAACACAACCCTGTTTTTTGATGCTTTTCGTGGTTTTGAGAGTCCTAGTGGAAGTCAACAGCACCTTTGACCTTCACCCTGCAAATTGTGCCGTCGAATGAATGTGTATATGAGTCGGTGGGAAAGTTTACAAACGATTGCCCATCACCCCACTCATACAAAAGTAAGTATGAAGCGACTACTGCGCGCATCAGTAGGATTCCAGGGATACCAAGTGCTTAAGTTTGACAGAAGGTTGACATCAGCCCCTACCATCCCTTAAATCTCTCACAGTGGAAGCTTTTGAGTTCCAAGATCACAAAGTGACGTTTTTTGCGTACCAGTGGTTGCTGATCCAGAAGTAGCCAATGCATTTCAGTTGGGCAAACACTTTTTCTTGAAGTGTTTGGTTTGACAGGTTTGGGCTGCATTATCGAGGCATGAGCGATGATGAGCGATGATGCGTCAAGGGATGGTGGCTAGCTAGAAAGGTATGGAAGACCATCAGACAATGACAAATTGTCAATGCAGATTTGACACTGCATGAATGCTTCTAGAAGCTCTGGAATCTATCTAAGATTGACTGGAGACAGGAGTAGCAAGTAATTAGTGGTGGACAAACTAGGAAAAAAAATGCCAGCTTGTACCAAAAAAAAATAGACCTCCCATTTGGCTTGTGAATCTGCAAGTGATGGATCTTGATCACTTGATCACAAAGACAAGCAAGGGGCACCAGCCATGAAATGTTGAGACATATTTTTTTTGGGCGCGATCTGAGCCGTTTTGCGAACTTGGTAGGTTCGCTGAAGACGACTTGCTAGTTGCACCAGGGCTTGAACTGCTTGCAGATGCGGTCCCTTGCCGGCAAAGCCAAACCCAGTTCTAGGACAGGTTGTAAAAGTGATTCAATTCGGGAATAATTAGCGTTGACAATCACATCATACAATTTTTCTGTGTGAGCTGATCCAACTTGCGATTTGGATTGCTGGACGCTTTTGCGGTTCCCCTTTAGCGTGTGTGCCCCAAGGTGGAGAGGCAGCCGCTACTTTGCAAGAGCATAATCAGCGTCAGAGGCCAGAGCTGTGCAAAGAGCCAAGCTTGCCAAATCCAAAAGATCCAAAAAGATCCAAAGATCATCTGCAGTATAGGCAACAAGTGCGATGTCATGAGACTCCTGAGTCGTCTGCTTGGCGTGCCTGCCTCAAGAGCGGGGTTGATTTGGCCTGTTTCTTTCAAACTGCATATTTGCCACATTTTGCCACATTTGGAGCTGCCGCCGTAGCGATGAAGAAAGTTATTTGTTCCACAGTGTATGGTTGATTGATTTTTCTGTGCAATTGTCCGCCTTTTTTTTTGGCAACAAGGGAGCCACCTACCTCCACAGTGTTGCAATAACTGCCTTCCAGCTTGCAGCTCATCTAAGATCATCTAAGAAGCTCAGGATTTGCATAGCAGCAATCGCAGGGTGCAACTCGCAGGATGGCGGCTTCTGCTCCAGGCACTTTCGAGGATCTCATGATTTCAGGGCAAAACAGAACTACATCGATCAATGAGAAATTCAACACCGACTGTGTCATCTTGTGGTGAATTCAACAGCAACAAACATTCTGGGTGAAAGCAGATATTGTACATTATTGTACCAAACTGCAATTGCTCAATAGAACTGGCCTTTGTCTCCAATGGTTGACATGAACCCCTGGCAAGTGCCAGGCAGCCAAAGATGAGGAGCTTAGACCTGTGCTGCGTAGAGCAAAGGTGGGGTGTTGAACTCTGTGTGCACCCAACAGGTGACAGGTGCTTCCTTTTTTAATAAAGGCTGCAAAAGAAACACAGTGGAGCTTCGACTCCAAGGCAGGTTGTAGACGACTGGTCAAAGTGCAGTGATTTGCCAAGGAGACAAGGGGGTTTTAGCTTGAGGTCAGTGGAACTAGGTGTTGGAACAAGTTGGTATTTCGCGCTGTTCCTTGGTGATGGAGGCTTTAGCGTTGCGTCTGCAACGAGTGGGCGACCCTGAGCGTGGGGCGGATCCGGTGCCCGGGGCTCGGATTCAAAGTTTCACTGACCACTGGATCATGGCCACACAGAAGGAATGTTTCAATGTATGCAGCTCCACGTCATGTCATTGCTGAGGACTTTGACGAAGTTCTTGGAGTTGGTGGGGTACAAGCCAGAGACGCAGATTCAGCCAGTTCAGAGCCCGCAGGCAAGAGAGTTTGGGCGATTCGGTCAATTTTGTGAGCACTGCCTTCAGGATGTAAAACTAGACAGGTGTTTTCTTTTCTGCCACTGGCCTTGGTGTGAAGAGTAGAGGGAAACTTTGACAGCCAAGCTTTCAGAATTTCTTTGGAACATTTGCACATGTAAAGGGTAAGCAAAACCTTGCCACTATTATATAACGCATGCCAGGGCGTGTTGACTTTGGTCAAAGCAGAGGCGGGCAGTGGATGCAGGAACCATTCCCTTACCACTCAACCTCTGCAAAGTTGTCAAATGTCGCTGTCGCCCTCTGGCAGCTCTAGCAGGCTGAACCTGCTGCAGAGCGGTGGAGTCGGGAGGCTGCCAAGGCTGTGGTGAAACTTGAGACCGCAGTGTGGCCCGGCTCAGAACATCTCAGAACCACTTGCGCGTTTTCCCACTGCAAGAGGATCAAGAGACAGGCACTCAGATAGTCTTGTTTCATCTCGTTTCGGAGGTGGAAGCTAGTCGGATCTGTCTCTGTTTGGAAACCTCCCAAAACCACAAGATGTGGCTCTTTTTTCTCATAGGACCAGCTTCAGAACAGAGAAGCCTTGAAAAGTTCTTGCTGAGAGGGGCTGAAGGGCTGATTTGTTTGATTTGCCAAGGCACAAAGATGATCCTATGGACATTGAGTCACTTGACTGGGCCACTTCCACACTGACAGGGCAGGCATCCTCTCAAAACGTATTCGGACCTATTCATGCGGAATCTAAGGGACCGCGAGCCTCGTCAAATCAGTGCAGTGCAGCAGCATCTGCAGTATCGTGTGATGCTAAGGAAGGCTTTGCACAACCTGATCTTGAAGATGCAGCGTTGGATCCTGAATGAGAATCGGTTCAAGTTTTTTCTATGGACCAAAAGGTTGATAGAAACAACTTGAGCCGTTGGTAAACGACGAAAAAAGGTGAACGACTTGATGCTACTCAACTGGGCACATTACCATTCTTGTCGCAATCTACGAGGCCGTGATGTGAATTGGCAATCTGTGGAAGAGACAGGAGTTGGCCTCATATTTCGCAGCTTGGCTTGCATACATGAGACAGTTGCTGTGGAATGCTCTGGACTCTTCGATTCGATTTTTAAAGTCCTGGTATGTCCTGGTTGAATGCCCGGGTCACCAGCTCCGTTTCCTAAGCCATGTGAGGTCAGTTGAGCAGCTTTCATGGGGATGGAGACATTCGTTCCCTTGCCCGGAAAGCAGTCCTGGAGGCGCCGATTTGCGATGCGACTTGGGATACTGGGGTGCTGCCATAGGGCGGGGCTCTAGGGTGCCAGTCACCTTTTGAATGCTTGAGATTTGAAGAGCCTCAACCTTGGTTAGAATGTTGGAATCAATCTTGTTGGAACAATTCCATTTAAAATCACATGAAAACGATATCCATCACCAATGTTCTCTTCAGTTCTTTCAGCAAAGCAAGAATCTCCTGATAAAGTATCTTTTCCAAAGTGAATGCAACAGGCAATGACATTGGATGTGAGTTTGTCAGAAAGCCACCTGAAATGGTCCCCCAGCTTTGTACAGCCATTGCAACACAATACCAATATTGTACCAATGTAGTTTGGATCAGCTTTCACTGGCAACTTGGGGAAGAGCTCCAGCAGCTCCACCACTTTGACTTTGACTTGTGGACCTACAGATGTTTGGAGCTCCGTGGCCTACAGGCATCTAAAGTCGGGTTCGAACAGCACAGGCCACCAAGCTCCAGCATGCTGACGCTATTAGATGAGGGTCATGAGGGTAGCCAAGCGCTAGTGAAATTGATGCAGGCAGCGTTGAGATTGAAGCAAGAAGGTCTCAGAGATAGAATGGAAAATGCTGGCTTTCTCTGAATGGCATGAACAAGACAAGATCTTGCAAGAATTGCACCCAGTGATGCAAAAAATGTTTTGACACTCTGAGCCTCTTCAGATATGGCGAAGAGCAAGGTCATTAGCGTCCCATGTACATAGATCTGCCGAGCCACGGCAGATGCAGATCTCTTGAAAATCGAGATGTCTTCCTGAGCATCCTGCGTGAAAAGTTGGACCAATCTGGATGTCTTTTGGCAAATTTGAAGATGTTGCCCAGCACGTTGGCCCAGCACGTTGGCCCAAACACTGTGCCCTATGCCTTGGCAGGTGGCATGGTGCGGTGCGCCAGTTGCGCACGGCACAGAAGGAGAGCAGCCTGACCAGCCTGTTGTATGGCCCATGGCAGATTGTGGGAGCGGCTGTGCCATGCAGAACTACCACATTTTTTTGAACATCCTTTTCCTTTCGATTTGTTCAACTGTATTTACCAGGAACATCGTTTCACCTACGCAAACAGCGGTTGCAAGATGCACTTTGAAATCCATGTGTTTGAGGATTGAAACTTGAGCTTCTTTCAGTGGTGCAGAGCGACATTAGTTTCTACTGGTGACCACAATTGCCCTGTGCCGCAGCCATCTTGCCCTGCCTCAAATCTCGAGCTGCTTAGCTCCTCTCTCCACACAGGCAGTCCTTGTTGTGAATGAGAAACTGGCAGCATTGTCCAAGACTCTAGGCTTGTTTCCCCCATGAGAAGACCAGTTTTAAGTCCATGACCCACTTTCTTTCTTTTGCCTAGGGATGGAGCAAGACCCGGCTGCAGGCCGCTGCCATGACTTTGTGGGTGTCAACAGTATCAATCCGCTTTTCAAAACCATGCTGATATCAAAAATCATCAAACATCATATCACATTTTGATTGGTGTTGCGGCCTCAAACCCTGCTTCTGCATGGCAGTCTCATGGCTTGCATTTTGCGAACTTGAGACAGAGTATTGTAGCAATTTGTAGCAATTTGTAGCATCCAGAATATCCGTGGATTCCGTGGATCATGTTTTTACTCTTTGGCAAGGACCTGAGGAATCGAAAGAACTGGACCGGATCATTCCATGAAGGGTGGATGGGGTGGGTATGGGTGGGTGATGTATGTTGATTTCTTCTGATTTTCTTTCAGAAGTTGAAACTTTTAAAGCACCATCCTGTGATGCATTGATGGTCAAAATGGATCTGTTTTGCCAGAATGCCGTCTCAAGCAATGTTGGATTCAAGCTGTGCTTTGGCCTTCCACACTTGGCTTCTCAGCACATGTTCGGAATTGCCATTGTTTTGGATGTTGCAGTGGCATAATGAAAGCCACATGGTATTAGATGTTAGTGGTTCAATTAGAGGCTAGCCAGGCAGCAAATTGCATATCCTTCCTGTAGAGTTGGCGATGCCTCTAGTAGCTGTGTTTGCATGGGTGCAACACGGTGCAATTGCTTTTCCACAAAGATAAGTTCTTTTTTTCTAGGAGAGGATCGAGAAGTTCTTAAAGGAAAGCCCTTCTCAGCAGGGGCCCCTGAGATATCAGTATGACCTCTCTGTGTCATGTCCACATTGAAATGATATTTACACTTTCAGAAACCGTACACATGAATAACACACACAGACACATCTGCATACACTGCATACCTGCACAGACGCAATGATGCTATCCGCTCGTGTACATCCATGCAAACCTAGTTGCGTGCCCACCTGCATATCGAAGCTACCATGATGACTAAACGTGTGTATTTATATATATATATATCAAAACGAATGCTTCACTTCAAAGCTTGGATGAAATGCACTTGGTCCTGGAGCTCGTGCATCAATAGTGCATCGAACGGTTCAAGAAAGGTATCATGACCGTTGGCCGTTCACCCTTCGGCCTGCTGAGGAAGCAGCTGGAAGAAGAAGCTTCAGGCTTGTGGGATGCCAACCCAGGCGGGGAGTTGGGTTTGTCGCACTGGAAGTTTATGTCTTTGTCTAGCTAACTAATCGAACCCAACCCAAACAAGAACTGCCCTAACCCAAGCTAATCTAATCTAATCCAATCTACTGTATATCAATCTATATAGTATATATATATATACATATAAATATACTATATTCTATATATATATATATTTCAATATTTCTATATGATCTAAGCGATGAGGCTATTCACCAATCTCCACCGTGGTCTAATTGTCTCCGTCCATTCGTCGCCCAAAATGCCACCAAGACGGAGCTCAGGACGTCCATCCCTTCGGGAGATTGCGTGTCGTTTAATGGAGGCCATTGCTCTGCTTGACAAAAAGCTGCGACCAAGATTTGAAAAAACTGAAGTCGGATCAGGTCACCGGGTCTTCAAATTTTCAGGGACCATCGTAGATTCTAGTGACTAGTCAGCCAGCCATTCACGTGTCAAAGTTTCATCTCACTGGGCAAGGCAGCAGGACATGGAGAGACTGACGGAAAGCAGTGGGGGACTGAGAAGGAGCATGGCAAAAGTTCCGCCTATGGAAGTTCCAAGTGAAGTGCCAGAGTGCTCATTGTCAATGTCTGGGTTCTGCTGCTGTGTTGAGATGTGAATTGAAGTGGCAATTGGTACCTCGGCTCCTGCAAATACAGAGAGCTCATGAATTGCAATGGCTTGAGCCCTTCAGTGAGGTTGCAGATGATGCAGTGCTGGGCATTGACCGGGAAAGCCTGGCTGGAGCGAAGATCTGACGTCTTATCTTGAAATGCTATCCTGCTATCTCCTCCTCCTCCTTCTCCTCCTTCTTCTTCGTCTTTGTCGTTGTTCTTGCGGAATTGTGATTGGTTTTGAAATCATTTGATCTTTGTTTGTTTAGGAGTGCTTTTCTTGATACCATAAGCTTCGCCTCGCTAAACCACTTCGAGCATCCCTCTAAATGTGATTTGTGGATGGTATTCCCTTTCTTCTGAATCAAACCTGCTATCATGAATGTGGCTCAGGCATCAAGACTTAAAATACAGAGAGCTAGGGAGAACTAGGGATTTGGATTGGGGAGAACTGACCCGATATCAGAGGAGCGAGGCAGCTATGATGCAGCTCTGCGGTGTCTCTCTCGGGTAAAGGAGAGACAGGCACGATTTGATGTCCTCTGTGGGTTTGCACAATCCGGTGAATTCTGTGTCCCTTTACAAGATATGTTTTTTTTGCTATGAATCAGTTTTAGCTGTTTGGAACCAGTGCTCCAAAGTAAGGAAAGGTCCTTGGTCCTGGTTTGCATTTCTGGGGCAGTTGCATGTGGAAGTTATAGTGTTAACCTGCAGGTGGCTCCTGGTGAACCTAGCCAATGGGCAGAAGTCTTGATGCAGACGCAGCCACTTTAAATGCAAGGAGAACATTGTATTGTCTAAACTGGTAGGCCCACCGTGTTGTCCGTGTTACCCGCATGTTGATTGGCCGTGAGTTCAGCTGTAAGCACCTCCGTCAAGTATAGAAGTAGAACAGGGACCAGGTTGGCAATCATCAGCCGTCCAGAAAAACAATCTGAATAACAGAAACAGGATTTTATATGCAATGATCTCATCCACATGTGTTGTAAGTACTGCAATTTGCAGAGGTCTCTGAGTGTTAGCTGACCTTTCTGGTTGTGGGAAAGAGCTTTGCTGGTTGCCTTCCTACATTTTTGCGAACAGCACCACCCAAACACAATCCAGACGCACCCTCTTTCTTAGTGGCTGTTTCAAATATTGAAACATCACCAGCAATATGAAGATATCTTCCAAAGATATGGAGAACATGATGGCACGGATGCAAATCCACAATTCTGAACCCTCAAACAGGTCTTCCGCAGTAATACTGTGCAATAGGATGAGCCACTTGGGTAACTTGTGGTCGGGCCGGGGTAACCGGGTAACCTGTTGTATAGTGGAAATGGGGTAACTTCTAAAGTAAGGTCGCGATGATGTCCCCAATTGTTGCCAACTAACAGGTCTCAAGGGGCGCACCATGCAGTGCTGAGGCTTTGGACTGCAACTGCTCTTTTGCATAAAGCATCTTACAACGAGGTGCGGCTAACTCAGTTCTAGTCGAATTGACACACCGCAGTGGAACAACACTTAACCTCTAAATGAGCATGCTTCGCATGGTTGTACACGTGTAGTCACTGGTGTGCAAACACGACAACAACTGCAGTATCAACAATCACAATACTAACAAGGATAATAGCAGTAGTAATGGTGAACACAATAGTAATAGTAGTAAGTAGTAAGAATAATAAGCAATGATGAATACACCGTACATATATATATATATATATGTGAATATGTATATAATATATGTATATTTGTTTGTATCATACTAATACACACATGTGTAGGCACAACACACAACGTACACAGAGGAATCTGTAGTTTTTTGCCAGGCCATGGCGGCATTTGCCAAGGCAGCCAAGCTCAGGTGCCAAGCTGCACTGCTAAGCCATGTCACACATGGATAGATGGATAATGATGGATAATGATGGATAGATTCAAAGTGATTTCAAGAGTTGGAACATGTTTGAACTATCGAATGCTTGAGAAATCCCATTGGATCATTCATGTGGCTCAAAGCGTGGCTTAAAGTGTGGCTCTCATCATTCGTGGGCAACTCATTTCACCTCAATTTTCATGGTGTGTATGGCCTGTGGCGGTGAATCTTCACATTCCTTCGAGACTTTGGATGACTGGCAAGATTCAAAGCGTTTCCAGTACCATGTTGCCAGGTTTTCGTTGAAAATGCCGGAGCGTGTGTTGCAGCTCTATTCTGATTCTTTGTCGAAACTGAACAACTTTCAGTTGCAGCGCTATGCCACACACGTGGCAGCCTGGGTGGCTGCACCAAAATGTGGAGCTGCGGTTAAGCTCTTGGCTGTTGACCTTCTTAGATGCTACCTCGAGCAGCTGAAGGTTCAGGGTATCCACTGCTGCCCGTGTTTGTTGACTGGACTCAAGTTGATTTGGCAGACACAGAAAGATGATCTGTATGGTAGTGGTCCATGGGCTGCACTGCGGGATGTTATGCCAGCGGAAGTACTCTCCAACTTAGAAATCTCACTAATGCGGCCTGAGAAATCAGTGCGTCTCCTGCAGAAAGCCATCCAACTTTGGAGGAACAAAAGCAGCGGTGAACGTTGCTCTTTTGTGGAGGGTTTGGAAGCAGAGCTGCAACTTCAGGATGAAGTTGAGGATTCGGGTGATCAGAGAGAAGTTGAGACCAATCGGCTTGAATCCATTTTTCGCAGAGCAGTTGCTGCGCTCACACCTCCACGATTGAAAAGGGAGGCGGAGTGTCATCAAGGCCAACAAGAACCATTGGATCCAGACTCAGAACAAACACTGGATCGCAGCTTGGCCGCATGTCGAAGCCGTCCCAGAGTCCAAAAAACTCACGTAATTTGAAAAAGACCCGGTCCAAATCCAAATGCCTCACCATAAATGACACCATTCTTGATACTTCATCAAGGTTTCTGAGGGACAAGAATCATTTGGTGAAGCAATGATGTGGCACAAATGCAACGGTTTTAAACGGTTTAACATTGCATTCTATGCCATGACCAAGGAAATCTACAGTTTCGACTTCGGCGAATTGTCATTTTTTGCTTGACCCGTGTGGACCAGCAAGACGGCAAGTTCTCAGCTGTACTGGATTACCTCAGAAATCTTGTCAGCAAATTGAATGGTAGATCCCAGACAGAGCTGCTAGCCCCCAAGCAGTGGACTCGTTTGTGCTCGAAGCTTGATGATGGCGGACCGCCTCAGATTGTTGGTGCGTGCAACGGGGCTCCAGATTCTGATACAACAAGTAGCCAAACACAGCTACCACCTCAGAATCAAATGGCTTCACTGCAGGATTTGGCTGTCCTGGATACAACCAAGATAACCAAGCAAATCGTGAAACCGAAGAGACGCAAAGGACCAGTTCCGCTTCAGTGCGAGCACGGCAAAGAAAGTGGACATTGTGGCATTTGCAGTGCTTGCGAACATGGCAAGGCAAGAAAGCTTTGCAGGTTTTGCAAGAGTTGCCCTGATGGACGGTGCCGACCGGCTTGCCCACATGGACTCTGCCGCGAATCCTGTAAGAAGTGCAGTGGATGTCCTCATGGTCTCCTACGACAAAATTGTGGCAAGTGCAACAGCTGTCCTCATGGAAGGCTTCGACGAACATGCTCTTTGTGCGTACCTTGTCCACATGGTAAGCTCAAGAGCAGGTGCATGTCTTGCACGCCTGCATGCCCTCATGGCAGGCGAAAGGATATGTGCCGAGAGTGTATCAGTTGTGAGCATGGGAAACTCAAATACCATTGCAACATTTGCAAGGCGTGCCCACATGGAAAGCTCAAGCAGCGCTGCAACATTTGCAAGGCGTGCCCACATGGAAAGCTCAAGCAGAACTGCAAAGTCTGTTGTGGCTGTATCCATGGTCGCATAAAAGCAAGATGCAAAGACTGTGCCAAGGAAAAGAGATTGCTGTTGCTGCCTTGCTGATGCTTGAAACCTGGTCACTAGCAGACTCAGGGGCGCATGGGCTTCACAGGTTCTGACATCACGGACTTTTTTGGACGGGATTTTAGAATAGCGTTCATATGCGTTCATATTTGTGTTCTTGATGTTCTGGAGAAGAGTTGTTGAAGCGGTTGGATGTGGCCGGAAACTCATCACTACATGGGACGGCATCTTTGGGTTTCTTTCACGACAGTTTTTGGCTCATGACAGGCCTGAGCAGACAAGCTGGAAGGCAGCAGAAGCCATAGTACTGCTACGAGAGCGAGGTAGGACATGTTTTTGAAGCTTTCCTGCAGACCAAATGCACAACGCGCCTCCTGTGAGAATGCGTCTTCATAGGAAAGGCCAAAGGCCTTTGACTTGAGAGTTTGGCACTTGCAATTTTCCCTTCATTTTCCCAGCCGGAGCCCTGGCGCTCGAAAGTCTTCCATACAGGAGAGATGAAAGTTGCGCTGGAGCTTGTCAATCACCTGGACCTTGAAGGCTTGGCTTTGATACAGTCCATGAAGCAAGATGCATAGATTGCAGAAATTCTAAGCTGATCTACGTGCTGTACTGTAATCTTTGCAATATTTTTCAATATTTGGATAGATTTGGGCATTCTGGAAGCAGGTCCAAAATCCTTGCGGCCCTTTGGGTCTAAAGCGACCGTAGCGGAAGTATTGCGGCAAAGGAGCCTTTGCACTTTGGCAGAAGTTCTGGATACTGTAAGAAAACCATAGAAAAACTGTCTTGGACAGAGATGGAGTTTTTTTGCTCCTGTGACCATCACTTTGTCTTTGCCGGCAGAGTGAGTGGATAACGATCCAGCCATAACTTTGAATACAAGCGTTTGAACAAATGTCTAGATTCTGTGGAAGTGCAGATGGACAGTCATTCTTCAATCTTGAAATTGAATATGACCAGACCCAGACAAGCAGTTCTTCAGTTTCCTGCTAGGACCTTTAGTAAATTTAGGCCCAAAAGAGTGAGGCCACATTGGGATGGCGATAGATCCGTCCTGCACCCCGTGGTGGAAATTGCCACACCAACGAGGTCTGCTGGAGCTGAAAGATCTGCCGCAAGCAGAGGCTCAAGCGCGAAAGGTTTTGACCATGGAACTCAGTGAGACAACTGGTTGGGACTCTCAGGAGAATGATGATCTGGGTATATTTTGGTAGACTAAGCCACATCCGACTCATCCGTTCTTTTGTTATGTTTTTTTTTTTCAGTTGCAGTTTTATTCAGGTGATTGGTTTTTACTTTAGATGTTTTAGTCGATGTCAAATCGAATCAGAAGGACCTTAGAAATTCAGCGTCAAAGGTCGAGCAAGATCCCTGAAGATCCTTCTGAAAGTCCTCTGTGCCAAGGCACCGGGGTCAACTGAACTATCGCTTGGAACATCGCCATGTCCGTTGAACCTGGCAAGGAGTGCCTCCAAGATCCCACTGAGCTCCAAGAGTTGAGCTTGGATTTGATGTCCCAAAAGAGGGCCACATTGGCTGATTGCATCGAGACCTGCTGGGAACCTCAGAGTCCAGTTTCACCTGCGCAGTGAAGCAACAGGTTTGGAGGATCTCTTGACCTTCCGGAGCCATATGACATGGCCCAGTGCACCGTTTTGATTCTTTTGCATTCTTTTGCCATTCTGTAGGCCGAGTCATAGCAGAGTCTGGTTTTGATCGGCTCTTTGTGAAATGCCCGGACACTCTGCACGCACTGCTGACACAAATGGCTCTTGAAACAATGATTGGAAACACCACTCGCTTCAACAAGAGCAGATGTGCACGACTCGCTCGAGTCTTTTTGCAGTTCTTGCAAAGATCCGCTTCATTTGTACAATGCTGGACTGCCAATTTCTTCGTTCTGTCCCTAGAACAAAACTTTATGCCATGAGGTCTGCAGCGCTTGCGCCGTCGCAGCCTTGACGCAGAAGAGCAGCGTGAGTTGCGACTCTTTGGGGCTCAGGCTTTGTGGCGGCGTGCCTGCAGATTTAGATGTTTGTTTTGACCAATGGTTCTACCAGGCAAGGCAGTAGTGGCATGTCTTTCCTCCTGCACCTCTGTCAGATGCTGGCTGCACGCGTAGAGGAGGTCATGTGCAGTGAGGCTACCCCAGCCGACAAGGAACAATCCGGGTCTATTTCAAAGATTGTTGCACTGAAGTGGACACAGCTGATTTTCATACCATTTCCATCCATTTCCAACCGCTAGAGGTGTGAATGAACGAATGCATCAAATTTATGACAGAGTTGATGTGAGCATGATTGCATTGCGAGTCAATTATAAACGCCGGGACGAATCACTCCTCACTTATAGGTTGATTGTCGAAGAAGAGGAACAAGTCGTGGAATTTCCCTGGCTGTTGCTTTCTCGTTTTTCTTGCTCTCAACGTTCATGAGAGGAGTTCGCAGTGGACACCCTTTGTGCATGGGTTGATGAGGCCGTCTGTCATGGAACGCATCTCACCCTTGGGACAATTGGGACCCAACAAACAGGGTTGCTCCAACGTAGTATACGTAGGTACATGATACACATAGCCATAGGGTAAACTGGCAATTTTACCCCTTAAGTTGCCATTTTTACCCCCCATTGTACCTGAGGTGTTGAGAGTCGCTGTGACAAAAGGTTCCCATATCCCAGCCATTTCCTGCGCGGCTGAGGCGCGGAATCTTGAAGATGCGGTGGTTGGTGTGGGGCATTTATTGTGGAACCTTGCGCGGACCTTGAAGCCTCAGGACAGAGTGAATCTGTGTGGTCGCTTGATGCTTTAATTTTTGGTGGACACCTGTATATATAATCCTACCATATATTGGGTATGTATGTCTGTGTATGTGTATATATATATACATAGATCGGGCGTGCCATATCATCTTGTACAAACAGGGTGGCGCGCAGGTCTTTTCAGCCAAATTCGCATTGCGAAGTTCGCTAGGAAGCTTTGCTTTGGCTTCAGAAGGCCCTCTCCTTCCTTCCAGAAGCACCTCTATGGCGAGCCATGGCCTTTTGCCATCACACCCTGGGCTGGGAATCTCAATTTGAAGCGCTGTGGAAATCCCTGGAAGGCTTATGCTTGTCTTGAGAGAAGATGCGCACTGTTTGGGAATCTTTTTCTCATACCTTGTTTGTGCAGAGAGGTGTTGCTCAGCACAGAACGCATCAGAAAACGCTTGAATTGCCAGCGTTGATTCAATGATGTTTGTGCTGCTGGAGTCTCTCAATATGTTTAAATCCTGCTACTACTCCATGTTGATAAACTGCAAAGCTTTGGTCAGATCGTTGGATCAACATTTGTTCAGAAAGAAACATCGAAACGATCACTTCCAACGACTACGTGATGCATAGAATTCACCACAAGGGCTTCATCACCAGATATCGACATATTGCCCTTATTGCCCCTTTGAAGGAATTCAAACAGATTGATCTCCTGCATTATCTCCTGCATTGAGGCGATGGAAACAACTGTCGGCGATGCCTTGAAGCCGCCTTGAAGCATTGCTCCAACGATGTGTCCAGCAATCTGCTGCTGCTGGTAGATGCGGCTGTGTGAAGCCCAGTACCAATGCTACCGATTGCTACCGTAGGTAGTGGATTTGGTGTTTCCTGGAAACAGCTGAAGCCAGGTCCGGCATGAAAATCCTGTTCAATAGATGCACAGATGACTTGGATGACACTCGATCATTTAGGCCACTTTGTCCCACAAATCAGCCATCTCTGGCATAAGAAGCATCCAGCAGCTGAGGTACGCGGCGAAGCTTTGACCGTGCAGCGTGTGGTGGAGAAGATGAAGCAGAAAGAGGTGAAGGTGACAGCCAACGAGGTCAGAATCGCCAATGTTTTTACCCGTGGCCTTTGATCTGAAGTTAAGTCGATGTACTGTCTATACTGGTAAGTCATACCTCACCAAGGACTTGAAAGAGTGTGGCACTCTGACTTGGTAAATCGAAAACATGAACTTGCTGGCTGGAGGTCATTTTTGTGGTGCGGGAATTGCAAAGTCTGGAGATCTCCCAGCAGCACCTGGTGATTCTGGATCTCCTTCTCAAGCTTGCAGAAGAGGCATAGGGCAAAATTATAAAGCATGCGCAGCATGCAGTACTGCGGTACGCAACATTATTATTCAATTTATTCAGAAAAGTGTAGGGAGAGAATGGCTGTGAAGACGGGAAGGCAAGGTTCGAGCTTGAGCTGTCTGACTGAAATATTTTTCCTCACTCCTTTGGTGCCGAGCCCCAAGTGCATAACTGATGTTGCCATCCAACCCATGGATGAATTCGCAATTGATCTTAAATCATCTGAAAAATCATCTTAGATCCAGTCACAGGAGAAGAGTTCAGCTCTATGTTCCGCAAGCGTGCTTCAAATGTACTTGGAGGCCTTGCCTTGCTTGATGGATGTGGTTGATTCGGATCCCAACACCGCGCCTGAGCCACGCAAGGCTGCCAGCCATTTAGGGCCACAGCACTTGATCAAAGCTATGGAGCGGGTTAAAGACATTGCGCTGCAAGAGGACAGGGGTTGGAATGAATGGCTGGCTTAACTTATAGATTTTATAGGATTATTATCGAAAGTTGTTTGTTTTGATGCTGGAACTAGCTTTAAGATATTGTGATCAAACCGGACCTGCCCAGCAAATGCTGAATGTTGGTATCCTCATGTCGCAAAGGATCAGAAGATTTGGTTGCGGCAGCTGCTGGTGACCCAGGCTCAAGCTTGTGTCCAAAGCCAAAGTTGGCGTCTTTGTGCCAAGTTGATGCAGGCCGTCAAGGGCAGGTTTTGTGGCAGGGAAAGAGAACCTGTCCTATTTTCCTGTGTCAGATTTGGTGTCATGAGTATGACAAGGAAGTTTTTTTTTTTGGGCCACATGTTAATTGTATACGCAGATTATGTTGATTTATTCAGTCATGTTTTACATTATCATTCCCTTCCAGATTTGGCGTTTCAGCTGTGGCCAAAATCTTTGGGACTCCAAGTGCTGCAAGGAGACAGCTGAGCTTCTGCCTTTTGGAGAAGACAAAGCAGTGCAGTGTGCTTCTGCTGCGCAGGTCTGGGCTGCACATCACACCGGAAACTGCCAGATTTTGACAGACGAATGGATGCACAATAGCATCCAACGGCAATTTTGTGCAGCGTAGCTTTTGGACCATCCAAATCTCAGTTTTCAGACTTGCAGTACATCATAGGCATTCAGTTCAGCCATTCCTACTCTACCGATCTCTACCGTATCATTGCCCAGCGCTAGGCACTTCTGCGTGCAGAGCCTCAACGCCAGAATCGTGAGACTGCGAGCAGTTTGTGTGAGGAGGCCTTGGATTGGATTCGCAGAGGCGAGCACACCTTCAAATAGACAACACATGGGATTGCGGAGTGGAACTGATGATCAAATTTCATCACACTTTCGGAGATGCTTGAAGCAAGACCAGTCCTTTGCAACTTGGCATCCCTGACATACCCAAGAAGTAGTTCCTCATCTTCTCAGTCGTTTTCCTTCGCAGCAGGCCTGGCTGCATTGGAAATTGGAACTGTGACAGCTGTGGAGAAGCAACTCAGAGACCTGGAAGCTGAAGCTGCAGGCTCGCCGAAAAGTGTGGCAGATGGGTGGTGAGCCCGGGAAGTGGCTTTCAACTGAAGGAACAAAGTTGATGATGTTTCTTCTAGCTAACTTTCAAGGACATCTCTGCATGTTGATGGTACATGTGGGAATGTTCATGCTGCATTTTTTTAACCCTTGCCATGCGCAACCAATCTCTTCCATTTGTGTACCCAGGAAATGTTTCGTGCACGTTGGTGCGGTTCATGCTGCATTAGGTTATGGAAACCCTTTGAGTGCTACCTGATTCCTTCTAGCAAATATTGAGAGATACACAATGCGCAGCAGGAAGAATGACGTCACCAGCAAAACAGCAGCGGCAGGTCGATTGGGTCAAGTTGTTTCATCCTTGAAATGTGCTTGGGTCGGTGCCTTACAATCTTGATATTTTCTGAATATTTCGATATGGGTTTTGCGTGGCTTTGCCACATTTTCCAACATTTAACTGCTCAATTTCCTGCTACCTCAATCAGCAATCGCTAGCACAAAAATCAGTAATCAGTACCACAACAACTACAATACCAGACAAACACGATATGAATGACAATGAATGACAATGAATGACATTGAATGACAAAATGAGAGTCTGCAAGACTTGTAGCCAAGGCTGCTTTGGAGGCCCACCCGCAGGTGACCATTCAGATTCTGCAAGGCCACCAGTTTGATGCCAAGGTGCGCCACAGGGATGACCTGGGGCAGACCTGGCAGACCTGGCAGACCTGGGTCGATGGTCGTGAGGCTCCAGCTGCTGCAGCTGCTGCAGCTGCTGCAGCTGCAGCTGCTGGCCGTGAATGCCTCCGTTTGCTGCTGCTACATGGCCATTTTGCCGAAGCCCTGCAGGTGCTGTGGGGATTTGATGTTGGATCTGTTGGATCTGTTGGATTGCGTTTTCATATGTTTTGATGCATTCGATAAAGGCGATCTGGTGCGTTGAAACGGAGGAAAGATGCACCCCACCTCCAGCTGCCTCCAACGCTTCAGGAAGTCCAAAGGCTGCAAGAGATGCAGACAGAGGTGGATGGATGGGTGGTGGCTTTGGAGCTGGAAAGTCTTGCCACAGTGGCAAACACAGAGCTGGGCATCGGCGGAAGAGCGGTGGAATAACTGACATGTTGAAGGGAAAAGGTACTCAGCTCAGGTTTTCGCCCAACAGTCTTATTGGTTTAAGATTTGATCCTGTATTTCGTTGGCATCATTAAGGGTTCTCACTTCAGCCAGCTAGTTGTTTTGATGCTGATCTTGATCTATGGCATATTCATGGTTTGGGAATGCTGAGAAGTCTTTGAGGTTGCCTAAAATAGGAACGTGAGGAATTGATTTGGGGAAGCTGTTGATTTGCCCTGTTGTTTGCTATCCTGCAGGCTCCCAACTTGGAGTCCTTGTGGCTGGCCGCCACTGTATGGAATGCAGGTACGCCATGCCAAGCGGGTACAGTGGGAAGTAGCAGCGTTGATGCGCAAGGCAATGTGTTTTGAGAATGGCATTGGTTTGGGGTCTTAGCATGGACTCAAATTTCAAGTCCCCAGACACCAGCTCCTCTCAATAGTAGGAAGCTGTTTCCAGTGGGAGTTTTCACTCTCAGACATGTCTTTGAGAATGTAACAACGTGGCACTTTCAGCCTGTTTAGGCCGTTGATGTTAGTGCTTCAGTCGCTGAATCATTGTCATTCAGCATAGTTGCGCGTGTCGGAGTCAAGCTGCTGACTCTTGGGCTCCCGTTGTGTGCTTCACTTGCAGGAGCCAAGCTTCTTGACACAGGACGGTGGGGATGATTTGCTGACTACAGACTAGTTTCAAACTGACAAGCAGGCACCAACATGAATGCGGGGTCGGCATTCTGTCCCACCATTGAACGTGGAGGCTCCCATTTGAATATATACTTTTCTAGGTGGGATGCTAGGGAACGATGGGTCTCAAGGCTTTTCAACCAGTAGAGGACTCTCATTGATATTTCTGCTGAGGAGATCACTCCTGCGGCCGCCAATTCCTACAGAAGGCCCTACTTGGATGATGAGATTTGAGTGGATTCACTTGGAGTCCGTTCAAGACTGTTGCATAAGCGTGGCCACAACCCCTCTAACGAATGAAAAGATCAATTCTATAGTTGGTTCACTGTACTGAAACGCCCAGCAGATCCAAATAGAAGGAGAGGTCTGCCATTTTGTCTTCCGAAACTGATTGGACCACAAACACTTTCGTCGAATTGTAATGCAATCTGCTTTGTACCTCTTGGCTCTCATCCATGACAATTGATGTGCCAGGCAACCGCTTTGATGCAGGCGCAAGTTGCAAAGAACACCGGGATTACAATCGATGGTCCAGTCTCAAGATACCACATCACATTGAAGAGGTGGCAGATATTCACAGTGGCAAGTGGCATTCACTGGTGGAACTGGTGACTAGCTGGCGCTTAGATTTTGTTGATGATGTCAGCAATGTCAGAATGAATCCAAAGTAGCTTGCCCATTGGGCCATTGATGGCCATTGGGCACCTGCCTGGTCTAATGTGGCAGGATTCCGGCACTCCAGAGCTGAAATCGATGCAGCAGGTGCAACAACACAACTGGATCTTCCTGCAGCAATCCTTCGCTTTCCTGGTGAAAAAATCATCTTGCGTTGTGGCAGTGTTGCGTGAACATATCAATATCACATTTGAGAGCATGGACCTGGACGACTTGATGGATACTTTACCTTTAATATTTAGTCTTCGCCATTCAATGCTTCGGCTCTTCGTTCGGACATATCACAGCTGGAAACCAAATTTGAAGTCATTCCCAGGAGATGCGCTTGCAGTTGATGGCCTTGGCTTGAAGGTGGTGCTGTGGGTTTGGTCACCACCCTAGTGATTCGAGCGCTAGTTCTGGTGCTCATCGAATTCGCGACACGCAATTTGCGATGCACTTCAAGTTTTCTCAGCGCGGCCTCAGCATCTTATTCGTCAAATGCAGAGGACATGAAGGCGACCACATTTCTTATCATTCAGTCACGATGTCAAGATCAGACACTCCATTGCTTCGCTTGTAATTTCAGGTGCCAGTAGTGTGACCACTACCAATGATACCAATGATTCGTTCAGTTCAGGCAAACCAGTTCTCCAAATATCACCAGTGGTGTCTAGACGGGACCGTGGCACCGTGGCACGTGGCCGCTGTGAATTCTGGCAATACAAGGGTGCCTTTGGCCGTGTAGAAAGTTGCTGCATGTCGGGCCCTGTCCCAGAACTTTGAAGAGCATTGAATATGCTTGAAGAGACATCCAGGGAACCACGTTGGGAGGTTTGGACAAAAGAGGTGTCAGACGGGAAGGGCATGCTTGGCCTTGAATTGCATGCTTGGCCTTGAGTAAGTCTTCTGGGACAAGCATGCGAGATTACTGATTGTGTTGAACAAGTCTAACCAAAGACAACTGGCTTTGGTCAAACATAGTTGCCCTCTGTCAGAGATGAAAGTCTCCCTGAAAGCCTTCATGGTTTTCCTGCACAATTCACCAGAATTACAAGCAGGGTTTTTCAACTTACTCTGCAAGGAAAGCAGTTTCCTCTAAACATTCTGCTCCAAGCCTTGCAAGAGTCACTTGGCCAGGTTGGAATGCCCGCTACCTGCGGGTTATTGAGGCAAATAGCAGCTTGCGCGTGCTCGCTGTTGATCCGAACGTAAACGTTATGTTAACATGTCATTTTCATTTTCCTGAGTTCAGATGACATAGTGACATAATGTGACATAGTACCTATCTTCTTTTGCGCACGAAGGAGCCAGAATGTCAAACCGTATACACTTAACCTCCCTCTCAGTTTCTGGCTGGTTGCTTTAGTTCTTTCAGGTTCTCTCAGTATTTGCTTTATTTTGCTCCCAACCTTTGTTTGGACAGATGGAGGACCCTGGTGGCTTTCCATCAGCTATAGTTTTCAGTGATTCGTGGCCTGAAGAGGAGCCCTTGGCGCGCCTCAGCAAGGAGAGCTCGGAGCAACTACCGAGGCTCTTAGCGACGCTGATGCGCCGGGAATCTCAGGAGGTTTTTTTTGGGGCATTCATTTTGGACACGCCTAAATTTTGTTTGCCTAATTTCCTGACTCCTCACAATCTTGCTTTCGAGTTTTTTGAGGATACATGCCCATTACCAACCGCTGAGTGTGATACTGTTCAGCAGGTTCCTTGCGCCGCATACACAGCAGCTCACAGCTACGGGAGTGGGGGCCTCACTGGTTTTGTTGGTATGCCACAGGAATTGAGGAGCAGACCTCAATAAAACCTCAGACAGCATTTGCAGATTGACAGCAGTCCGATCATTTGATAGCAGTGCAATCATAATGTCAAGTCATGTAATATCGTTGATTAAATGAGAGGACAAGCCCTTGCCCTGCTGCTCTTTGCTCAAGCAATTTCTAGCTGTCTCAAAGTGTTGTGGTCCCCGCCACTCCCCCGACCGGTCCACTTACCCAAGCGAATTCACGAGTGCCAAGCCAAGTCCGATGAAGTGGTGAGGGCATTGGCGGGGTGTGGGAGGCAAGGCTTACCTCACAGGTGGCGAACCAACTCATCAACAGATTCATTGGGGATGGATGACACATAGCCATGCACACATCCAAAGAGGGATCATTTACAGGTGCGCGATGGCGGATGCACCAGAGATGGAGGGACCGTATCTTGGTGCATTCTAGCCATGAATCCATTTTGCGCTGAAATGGCAGGGTCCCTTCCTTTGAAATATACATGCTGAACTGGGCCCTGGGTGTCATTCGTATAATACTTATCTATTCTTTTGCGCCTGTCTTTGACATTTCAGAAACAAATCTTTGATGGATTCAATCGAGTCGCGTGTTTCTTTCTAATATTTTCTAATGGATCTCCAGTGTTTCTGTCAATCTGCGGGTCCAAATAGCCAAGGAACCGCTTGCCGGGTGGTGGCCCTTCCGGAAAGGGACCCTTGGTCCGCGCTGTTCGAGCAAAGCAGCCAGATCTCAAGAAGGTCAGAGGGACGTCAGGGTTTGTGGATCACAGACTGGATGTAGAATGGCAAGTTGGAGTTGAATCCAGGATTGATTGGGTTGGACTCTAAACCCCAACCAACTCTGCTAGTTCGAGGATTCTAGATGTACTGGCCCGGAGTGTTTTTATCAGACCCTACTATGGCCAGTTTTCTCCATACCTTGCGAGGTCGCAAATTATTGGCTGAATCGTTTCGACTCAGAGAAGTACAGCGCACAAGCCGAGCTCATTGAACTTGTCATGGCCGGGAAGCTTGTGTTGTGCAGAAATTTGATTCGATATAGTGAAGTATAGTGTGATGAGTGATGGTGTAGATTCTGACTCACGCACCCCATGGGCTGTGACCATCTTGGCTGTTAGGCTGTCGCAGATGTGCCATCGCAGACAACTGTGGCCAAAGAGGATATGAAGGCCTTTGCGAGATTTTTTGACTGCTTCATGACGACGTAGGACGAGCAATGGTAGTATATCGAACTAAGGGACTTGCATGTAACACCCTGAGACTTCGGTTGCGATCGGCCTCCACAAGTAGCAAACATGGAGTTTCCGAGTTTCCTTCCAGAAACGGCACCTTTGCATGCTCCATGTGGCCATGCGGACTTGCAGGATCAAGCTCCTTCCTCTGTGGTGAATGAGCTCACCTCGGCCTTGGCTCTGGAAGCATCAGAGAAAGGTGGGAAACTGAGAGCCTGGAGCAAGCGACCACTGGAGCTTCATTGAGTTTCTTTGACTTTTTGGCACTTTGGCAACTTTGGCACTTTAGAATACTTATAGAATACTTTAGACTTCAGACTTTAGACATAGTCAGCGCCGGGCCGGGTTACGACCTGCAGGTGGTGACTTCACCCAGCACTGGCTGGTGTCCCGTGACAAGGGCGCCACCAGGCACAGGCTGATGTTTGGTATGACTCGGTATGACTCGGTATGACTAGGTATGACTAGGTATTATGACGATGCTTCAGAGACAGAGCTGCTGTGTATCAGATGGGGGATTTCAGGAATGCTGGCGGACTCTGTTCGCTGTCAAACGTTGGAGAAGTTCCTAGCTCTTCGAAAAGAATTGATATCCGGGCATTGAAAACTTGCATTTGGCTTTCCATTTTGGAACATACATTGAAAGCGGTGGCAGATGAATTACACCAGACCTGTCCCTGCAGGACACGAGAAAATTATCCTGCCATTTGGCGTGAGCTAGCTTCGGCACCCTCTCCTGAAACCCTTCTGAAGGATGTCTTGCCCCGCTTGCGAGCAGCTCGCCTTGAGGATCTTGAAGGTTTGAACGCCTTTGGAGGGTCTCAGATGTTCCCTCAGGGCTTGATCAAGACTTGAAGTTTGGGCTGACCAATGGGCTGAAAGCTGTAACTATTTTTCATTCATACAGTCTTTAAGATTGCATTTATAGCATTTTATAGCTTCATGATGCTTCATGATGCATATAGCTTTCATTGTGATTCTGACACAGTGTGACTCAAGGCATGGACACTGGCCTTGGCAGAGTGTCAGGGATCCCAGTGTGGCTTTGAGCGACCGAAGATTCTGTTTGGCAATTTGGGTCACAAAAAAAACAAAATACTGATTCTGTTTTTGCAATGCTGAGCAAAGCAGATATGTTTGATATGCATATGACCAAAGTCAAAGATGAGTCTGCTCGTTCGCTGCTTGGTTGATAAGAAGTAGAAGCACATGGAACAGCAAGGATTGATCATCCTCAAGCAGTCAATCAGCTGTTTCCTTTCCATTCCTTTCCATTCCTTTCCATTCCTTTCCATTCCTTTCCATTCCTTTCCATTCTGCTTTGTTCTTACATATCTTCCACAAGCTCGTTCAGCTCGTTCTTCTGAAATGCAGCAAGGTCGTTTCCGCAGCATCCGCCACTGCGCCACTGTGGCAGGGCTGGGACTAGTGGACGGCTTGCAACAGCAGTGCCTTGGGACTTGGCGGTGGATATCTTCCATATCTTCCATATCTTCCATGGTTACAACTTGGCATTGCGGCATAACTCAGTGGATCTCAATGGTTGCTAGCGGCTAGCGGTTGTGGCGGCTGTGATGGAATGCATGGAATGCACATCCAAGGTGCAACGAGATCCAGGGCTTTTGTGACACCGCAGAACGACGTTTGGCCGAGACTGAGGTGCCAAGTTGGCCAAGTCTTGGGACTATTTTCTTCACGGACACAACTTGAATATTTGATGAAGTAACAGCAGTTGACAATATATACGGATATATATATATATACGGTATATATATATACGTAAATATGTTATTTCATGGCCGAACCCCCAATTGATGCAGCTAGACCAACTGGTGGAAGTTGATCTGCAAGAGTTGCCCAAGGCTAGTTGGAGATCGGATCAAGGATGCCTTGAACATGTTGCAAAGTCGGTCTCTGCTTTTTGATGATGATAATGATGGTGATAATGATGGTGATGGTGATATATGGTGATGATGAGGATTCTTAATTGTTGTTATTTCATCCTGTTATCATTACGACACGTGACACATGACTTCTCCTCAGGTGGATACGACGCGAGCACAAATTTCAAAAGAATTGAAGCGCCAAAGGTGGGAATTCAATTTCAGCAGCGCGGCAATGAGTTGGTGCTTCTCACATGGTCTTCGATCAAGACGTATCAGGCTTATATATCTACCCAAAGGATACTTTGCTCAACAAGCCGTTTGTTGAAAGAGTGGCAAAGTGTCCTAGAACAAGCACAATTGAGACGTGTCGAGAAGAGTATAGGGGAGATCAGAATTGACTGCAGATCTCCTGCTGCTAACCACATTGCATTCCGAGAGCAGGCAGCTGCTGAAGAATCTGCTGGATGCACGAGATAGCTGGGTGCTCAAGGAAACGTCGAGCCTCAACAAGACTTGTGTTAAGCAGACAAAAGATGAAGCAAGCACTTCGTGTCATTTGCCTTCAAGTCCTGAAGGTGTTGAGGAATCATTTTTATTAAAAATACCATTTCATCAATCTGCACCATATTGAAACTGCTTTCTTTTGCAAACAAGGTGTGCTCTGCTTTCAAGAAGCAACTCCCTTTATCCCCCGATCCAAATCATTCTTCTTAATTTTCCATATTTTTCCATTTTAGATAGCAAGCAGAATAGTTGTCCTATTGGCTTCCGCTCCGAGTCTACCGAGGTTTTGCTGCTACTCTCTTGAGCCGTCGGTGCAAGGTGGTGCTGATCGGCGATGCCACACAGGGGTTCATGTGTTTGTCAATTGTTTTATTCCCCAGAGGAAGCACCTCAGCACAAGCGCACCACAGAGGTTTATCACGGTAAATCATATCAAATAATTCTATTTTGGGGTTTCAAACTGGTCACATCAACGCAGTGGAGATCAAAACGCATTGGTACTATTGGTACTATCCATGTTTGTAGCTCTTGTAAACCATCAGATTCACCAGTTTCTGTTCTTGGGAGGATGTCGATGCCGACATTCGTTACAGCTGCATCGAAGCGCTGAATCGGTGGGCACAGCTTCGTGGTGAGGCGGCCAACCTCAGTGGATTGTACCGACAAACATTGTCATTTGGCTATGGATCAATACCTATACATACCATTTTTAGG